TTCCGTTTCAGAGGGGAAGGTTTGTCAAACCCGAGAAAGCAGGGTAAGTCAAGCCTGTTTCTGAAAGAGTCAGTTACCATGGTTTACCAAGATTTCATCAAAAATATCTTAATTTGTGTTCCGAAGATGAACGAAGGTCTTACGGTTTTGGAACGAGATGAGGGTGAGTAATTAAAGGGATAGTTCACCCAAAAATGTTATGTTTATCTGCTTACCCCCAGGGCATCCAAGATGTAGGTGACTTTGTTTCTTCAGCAGAACACAAACAAAGATTTTTTAACTCAAACCGTTGCAGTCTGTCAGTCATATAATGGCAGTCAATGGGTCCCAGAGCTTTGAGAGTCAAAAAACATACACAAACAAAACCAAATTAAACCCTGCAGCTCGTGACGATACATTGATGTGTAAAGACACGAAACAACCATTGACACTCCTAATTGAGATAGTAGATAGAGTGTCAATGGTCCATTTGAGAGATAGGTGGCAGTAATGCACTTATAAGTCTGCGATCCGCCGTAAAGCAAGAAGAAGACGACGACGACACGTCACACGCCGGCTGTTGAACGTGCTCAGGACAGTTCGGACATTGCGGTGAATCAGAGGTAAAAAACGATGTAAATACTGTTCAGTTTCTTGCACAGGCCGATCGTTTCGTGTCTTTACACATCAATGTATCGTCACGAGCCGCAGGGTTTAATTTGGTTTTGTTTGTGTATGTTTTTTTTTTACTCTCAAAGCCATGATTCCAATTCACCTCCATTGACAGATTGCAACGGTTTGTGTTAAAAATCTTTGTTTGTGTTCTACTGAAGAAACAAAGTCACCTACATCTTGGATGCCCTGGGGGTAAGCAGATAAACATCAAATTTCATTTTTGGGTGAACTATCCCTTTAATAGTCCATTTTTTATAGAACGATAGCATTTTATGTCTTTTTGTTGCAAAATATTTAGCCCTAAAATACTCCAAAAATGCAATTATTTCATTGTCGTATTCTGTTCTTGTAGTGTTTCTAAGTGCTTTTTTTGATGGTAGTTTATCTACTTTTTAGAATAAATATATTTCAGCTTGCAAAAAACTTAATAGCAGATGTTTGTTTTATAAAATAACACTGCATTTTATATCTTTTTGTAGCAAAATATTTAGCTGTAAAATACTCTGTAACACAGTTTATAGATCGGGAAGAAGGAGGCGGGAACCAGCGAACATTTAAAGAAAACTTTAATAATAAAATAAACACAAAATAGCACAACAGCCCCTCGCAGACGACTGTCGTGCACAAACAGAACCAAAACACAAAATAAAGTCCAGGCCTGGTCCTCTCTCCTTTCACTGTCGTCACTCCTCCTTTTATCCTTCCGGAGCTCCTCCGTGGGACTCGAGACCGGTGAGTGGTGCAGGTGTCGCTCATCAATTACTCCACCGGCCTCGCTCCATTCCCACGGCTCTCAGTCCCGCCCCCCACTCGTCACATACTCATTTAAAAAAAGAAGAAAAGAAATCATTCAAATTGGCTTATTCTGAGCTTTTTCCTGATTGTAGCTCTTTTTGTAGCAAAATATTTAGCAATAAAAAGCACACTTTAAAAAAATGAAATTATTTAAATTGGCTTGTTCTGTTCCTGTATTGTTTCTAAGTACTTTTTCTTCATGGTAGTTTATCTACTTTCAATTATGAATAGCTTGTAGCTCTGCAAACTAGTTTCAAAGTTGCTTCCACAACACTCATCATCATTCCCACACAGGCTTGGCACACACACAACGGTGATTCGTTAAACACAGATTGGACTAATGTACCACTCTCTGCTCTTCTAGCACGTGTGGCTGTGTGCGTTTAATACACGTTTCCCTCTAAAAGCAGAGATAAGGTAATTTGTGCTAATTGCTATTCATATGGATAGTAGCCTCGTTAGCGATGTTCACATACCGGAAGGCATCTGCCACTGCATGAGCATTAGCTGTAATTATTGAGAGAGTGAGGGACAGATGCAAAGAAAAAAGTTCTCTGATGGCGTCCTCTGGCCTTGGTTATACCATAATGATTGTTATTCACATTATATCTGTGTCTTGTGACTATGCCAGTGCTCTCCCAGAGGTGAACTGGAGATGAAGTGGATTATTGGGGGTAAAATGTTATGTCAGTCAACCACAAGTTAAATTATAGAGTAATTTTATAATATAGATCTCATTTAGTTTTGTCAGGCTCTCATTTGGGCCAATCATCACCATCATATTGCTAAATCATTTTAACAAAATCAATTTTGGTCAGTAGATTAGATAAACCCTGATATACACAAATAGGATTTTCCTTGTAAGACTTAATATAATCATCATTCAGCCTGAATAATCAAGCGAAAAGTAAATTGCTGAGAATAATGTGTGGAACTAATCATATCTGATGAGTTTATGTAGCTGTTGTGTCTCTGTCTGATAACCTGTCTGCATTTGAATGCTGATATTTATGCTGGTTGTGTTTGATTGATGGATGTTTTTGCACTCATTCAGTTTGTTCTTTTTGAAAGCTTTTTGACACAGCTGAGATTGATGGCCAGAGAAAGCAGTGTCCCTCTGAGGCCACCATAGCAAATATGTAGTAGCGTAACTCTACGGCTGCATCAAAAATAGTACTACATCTTTTCAATATGCATTTACTTTTTGACCATTAAAAAAGTATGTTCAAAGTCCATTCTTCATCAAATGTAGCACCTACTCAGTATGCGATTTTGGACACAGCTATTGAATTCATAACATAACACGCATTCATTAAGTGTCCATTAGCATGGCAGGATGCAGGCTGTATACTTGAATGAAAATGAATGAATGAATGAGAATGTTAATGGATAACCAGTTAGTATTATATTATCTCCTTTGCTTGAATTGAAACCATATTTTGGCATGTGCTAAATCAGACTGAGGTTGTTTTGTGCATACTTATTTACATACTTATACTACAAACTAGTAGTTGTATGGGAAAGTACATATGTTTGAGTCTGTAATAAAACAGTATATAATAGTTGGTACCTTAAAGAAGCTATTTCTATGTGGCCTGACCCTACAAAGTTGCTTTTTTAAGTGTAATCTAATGTATTTAGGTTGATTCAGCCTTAAATGTTAATTCATAAACCTACATGTTAATTCATATTAAATGGTATAGTTTTGAATACATCTAGTTAATTTAGATGTTACCTGACAAACGATTTTACAGTGTGCTTATACAACTGATCTTGCATTTCTTATTACCTTTCTTCAAATGAAAAAGTCTCAACCAAGGCTAATTGGAAAAACATGCCTGTGGTGACATTTCTGCGAAATTACATTACTTTGCCTCTTGCACATTTCACAGCAATTTCAAAGTGAAATGTCCAGTGAGTGGCGCTAAAAGAGCTTTCAGTTTTTTTTTTTTTCAAAACAGATAAACGTAAATCTGGTAATGGTTTATTACATTGTATGTATCTTAGCAGTTCAAGAATTAAATGTCTGGTGAATGGCACTAAAAGGTTCATGCTTTATCGCATTAACAATAAAGCAACTGAAGTAACCATGTCATTTTAGCTTGCTTGTATTAGTAATTCAGCTCTTTTGTTATAACTTGTGTTTCACAAGACTTGTACCCGAGCGCTCCATTACATTGCATGAGTGCAACACTGTACCAGGTGAGCTACTGAGCAAGTACTACATTAGAAAGTCATACGTATGGAGCTGGTTGTTTGATTCCAACATTAAATGTATTAGTTTTCAAATTGTGTACTATGGTGAAAGCGTTTTGAGGTCATAGCATAGTATTGTGCAAAGAACCGCACAAATATAATATATTTTCTCCAACATCCAATGCATATCTATAGGCCTATAGAACGGTGCATAAAACAAGTTCATAAGGAAAAGACTGTAAATAACAATTCAGCTTCATAGCAGATTTCAAGAGATCAAGGGCTTAATTCATTGCATATAAACACATTGCACTTGTTCCAAGTGTAGTGGGTAGTCATGCAACTTAAGCAGTGACATACATCTGAAACATCTGATGTACAGAACATGACATACATATCCATGAGATGGAGGGACATTAGTGAGGGAGCGGCATAAATACCTCACAAAATCTTATATTAGCCCCAAAAGCATGACCTGATCACTTTAAACCAAAAATATTAAAACCACAGAGAACTTTGGCATTTTCAATATTTTTAATGTACTGTTTTGAGGAATACGAAATCCTATTTTGCATACTATTTAGGATAATATGCAAATGTTTGCAGCCTTGAGTGCCTAAGAGACTATTTTCTGTGTATGAATGTACTGTAAATGTTTGTGTTATTCTTGAAATTAAGAATTATTTTCTTTTCTTTTCTTCAGACACCCAAACAACAACCTCAAGCAAACACACAAACACTCCCACATTTTCTGTAATTTCTGTTGTGTTTTTTGCTGTGTCTCTCTCTGTTGCCTTTCATGTTCAAAGCTGAGTGAATGAATGCATTCTCTAAGGAAACGCTCTCCACGCGTCACACTTTCAGTTAATCACAAACTCTGGATCAAACTCAGAGAATGTTGACAGAGAATGTTGACAGAGAATGTTTAGAGCAAGGTTTGTGAGCCCGCTGAACCTGATCTAAACCAGGTTGGATTTGTTTGGTTTTATCAACTCTAAACCTACTTTGAAACTCGGAGTTTGTTCAGCTAGCTTCATGCAACAGGCCACTGAGGCTCATTTCAGAAAGGAGGTTAAGTGAAAACTCTGAGTATGATAACCCTGAGATGAGGGGAAACTCTGGGGTTTCCGTTTCAGAGGGGAAGGTTTGTCAAACCCGAGAAAGCAGGGTAAGTCAAGCCTGTTTCTGAAAGAGTCAGTTACCATGGTTTACCAAGATTTCATCAAAAATATCTTAATTTGTGTTCCGAAGATGAACGAAGGTCTTACGGTTTTGGAACGAGATGAGGGTGAGTAATTAAAGGGATAGTTCACCCAAAAATGTTATGTTTATCTGCTTACCCCCAGGGCATCCAAGATGTAGGTGACTTTGTTTCTTCAGCAGAACACAAACAAAGATTTTTTAACTCAAACCGTTGCAGTCTGTCAGTCATATAATGGCAGTCAATGGGTCCCAGAGCTTTGAGAGTCAAAAAACATACACAAACAAAACCAAATTAAACCCTGCAGCTCGTGACGATACATTGATGTGTAAAGACACGAAACAACCATTGACACTCCTAATTGAGATAGTAGATAGAGTGTCAATGGTCCATTTGAGAGATAGGTGGCAGTAATGCACTTATAAGTCTGCGATCCGCCGTAAAGCAAGAAGAAGACGACGACGACACGTCACACGCCGGCTGTTGAACGTGCTCAGGACAGTTCGGACATTGCGGTGAAAGTTAGATCCTATGTATTTCGTAGCATGCGGAAGTCTTTTTGTCAGGTGCTGATGCCATGGTGAATCGTAATTTCAGAGCTCCATTGATCAAGGCTTTTCAACTCAGAGTGAACCTACTCAGAGTGGATTGAACTAACTCAATTCAGCTGTTCTGAACCCCAAAACTCAGAGTTTCCCACCTTACTGAAACGGGCCCCAGGAAAATAGATTGTACAATATTTTCTAGTTTCTAAAGGAACCAGACTTAACAATAATAATCATTTTTAATAATAATAAATATTTATTATATATAGTACAAAATATAATGGATTTAATTTGAATAATTACCAAAAAAAAAACAAAAAAACTTTTTACCTGATCTGGTGAAGAAGGAATTAAAATGGTGTTGTCAAGTTTGGAAAGAGACTGCTGGATGTTCAAGAGCATGTTGGAGTCCAGTAAACTGGTGGACCTGTGATCAGACACGAAGCGAGTGTTAAAAACAAACAAAAAAGAGATTCTATTTGACTCAAACACACATTCACATCCGTACCTGGCAGTCTCTTTTTCACTAACAAACGTTGGCATGGCGGCGAGCGGGCTGCAGAGGTTTTTACGGATGTAGATCTTTTCGATGGAGGGCGCACAGTTTGCTGGCTTCTCTCTCGACACCTCCACCGGTTTCCTCTCACACTGAACAGCTGTTGGAGGAATTTCATGAGTCTAATGACAAGCCACATGATTTGAGTCATCAGTCATGAATCTGAACTGGACTCACAATCTTGTTTCATGCCGAGGACCATGCAGCGCTGCAGTCTGCAGTACTGACACCGGTTTCGATGGTGTTTGTTGATGACACATTCTCCAGACCCGCGGCACGTGTACACCAGATTCTTCCTGATGCTGCGCTTGAAGAAACCCTTACAGCCCTCACAGCTCACTGCTCCATAATGACGACCTGAACACACGCACAATAACAGTACAGAAACATCTATTTAGAAAAATAACGCAATGATTCGAATTCTGTTTGAGGTCGCAATTATTTAAAACACGACTATGTGTGTGTGTCATTTACCTGAGGCCTTGTCTCCACAAACTACACAATACTCCACTGGAGGCTTCGGGGTGCCCTGTTCTGAGCCTTCCGTCACAAACTGAAAAACAAAACATTCTAAACTATAAATATGAACAATAGTATTGTGTAAATTACAAAAGGAAATACTGTATCTATAAACACACGAGAAATACAGATTACCACAATACAAGCTTCTATGAGATGACTACAATTATAGTAAGTCTTACCCAAAAAAGTTAACCAAAAGGTAATGTGGCAGTACCATGGTACAGTGATACATAATACAGTGTATTGAATAATGTTTTTGTACTGTAGTATTTATATGGTGTTCCTTCACACTGGAGACTTGACTTGCCATTCATTTCAATAGTTTGACATTAGCATGTTGCTAAGCGAACAGCACAACACTCTAATAAGGCTAAAAGACAAATAGCACACACAAATGTGATAAGGGTCACAAAACCAGTCATAAGGGTCAACTTATACATCATATCATCTGGAAGCTGAATAAATAAGCTTTCCATTGATGTATGGTTTGTTAGCATAGGACAATGTTTGGCCGAGATGCAACTATTTGAAAAACTGGAATCTGAGGGTGCAAAAAAAATTTAATATTGAGAAAACCGAATAAAGATCTTAGCAATGCATATCACTCATCAAAAATTAAGTTTTGATATATTTACGGTAGGGACTTTACAAAATATCTTCATGGAACATGACCTTTACTTAATATCCTAATGATTTTTGGCATAAAAGAAAAATCAATAATCTTCGTCTGCTATACTAGATTTTTTTTATTAAAGGGGTCATATGATGCTTTTTTAAAGATCATTATTTTGTGTATTTGGTGTAACAGAATATGTTGACATGCTTTAATGTTCAAAAAACACATTCTTTTTCAAATACTCTTCATTATTGTAGGTCCCGCCTTGCCTTGCCTAAGTAATCTTAAAGATTCCTAAATGCATCTACTTCCGGAAGGCCAAATAAAGTGCTTTTGCTTTCGCACTGAAACACACAGCGTCTTCCTGACATGCTGCTTCAACACTAACTGCGGTTACTGAAACCACGCCTTCTTTCTTTGCGTGCACATTTGGGCGGCATTATGCAAATATTTCCACATAGTGAGGTAGATATGTGGGGGCGTGTTAGAACGAGCCGTTTTAGGGGGGCGTGGCAGAGTCTTAACTTTGATAAAGAATATCTCTTTGGTTTTGAGACTTTAGTCTTTGCAACTTCAGGGATCTTATCTATGCACAATCAGCTTGTAACACTCCAAAGAGAAAGGAAAACTTGAAATCGCATCATATGACCCCTTTAAACCAAAACGCAAGTAAAGGCCAGAGTATACCGAAATCTTAACGTGCGCATGCATGTGTTAAACGTATACTTTATTTGATAGTGTGCATGAACACAGGAGGTCCACACATGCGCACTAGAAACTTTCATCTTCGTTCAATGTCTGCGCAATTTCTCTATAAAAGTAATGATGACCAATAGAAATGTCTTTGTACACTTTTAAATGAAAGTTGCAGTTGTCTATTGTTGTTGCAGTCTCTAGTACTGTTCTGGGCTGCGTTTTCCAAAAAGCATCGTAAGCCTAAATTGATCGTAGCTCCACCGGTGACATTGGGTCTACGATCTACTTAGGCTTCCGATGCTTTTGGATAATGCAGCCCTGTTGGTTTGGTGTAGCGAGTAGCATACACATAAAAACCAAAAGTATACTTTGGGCTTAAATGAGTGGTGCCTGTTTACCTGGATCTGTTGTCCTGTCAGCTCAGGCGATGCGAAAAGCAGCTGATTGACAGCAGACCCATCAGCAGATGTTAAGATGACCTTGGTTGGTGAGTTCTCTTGTTTGATGAACAGTTTCTCCTGGTTGGGGTAATCCAGGTTAGCTAATATAAACTGCTGCTTGCCGGCTCCAGCCTGATCAATGGCTGTGACTATCTGCAGCTTCTGAGTCAACTGCTGCTGCGTCACAATCTGATACAACACATGACAACAAAGACCATCAGATTGAAACTAGTGCAGTCAAACGATTAATCGCGATAAAAGTTTTTGTTTACATAATTTGTGTGTGTGTACGGTGTATATTTATTATGTATATATAAATACACAGACATTCATGTATATAAGAAAAAAGTAATATATTTATATATAATAAAAAATGATATGAATATAAATATATACATGTCCTAAATATTTTCGAAATATATGCTGTATGTGTGTGTATTTATATATAAATATTCAATATACACAATACACACACATATATTATGTAAACAAAAACTTTTATTTTGGATGCGATTAATCACGATTAATCGTTTGAGAGCACTAATTGAAACCTAATTACATTTACAGTAATAAAGCAAATAGAGTCGGTTTAAACCAAAACAAATTATGGCATGGAAATTCTGTCCAATTTTCGTATACCATTTGTTAGCATTGTTTCAAAAAACGAATGAAAATACAAATTCATTCTATAAGGTGGGACTTATGAAAAAGCAGAAATACAGTGCTACACAAGGGCAGTGGGGCACAACTTTACGTTTCAGAAAATGTCACTGTAAGCACAGCTCTTATTGGTTGGACGGCTTTTTTGAAGTGCAACGAAAAAATAAATTATAACACCCCTCGATTAAAAAAGCTTCACTGATGGCATATGAAAGTTTGAAAATACATAACTGCAGTTCAATAAGATGTAATACATTTATCATAGCATTTAGCATTTATCAAACATTTACTGCGTAAACATGCAACCTGTAGGCCTCCATCTGCAGACACCAGCTGAATTCTGGGACTTTCTCCTTCCATGATACCGTTCTGTCAAAACCGAGGCTCAGCAACGCCCCATCAGCCACATGCCCACTGAGAAAAATAACACATAACTCAAGATACTCTTGAGGATCCACATCAACCATTTGCACAAAGACCTTGTAAAATACTAAATATTACCAATCAATATTTCATGCATATCTATATTCATTTTTAGACTTTTAGAAGGGGGGGTCCCGCAAGGATGATCATATGTGGGGTCTGTGGAATGTAAAAAATGCAAACATTTTTGGTGTGGTGTCTTTTGAGTGGTGCAAAATTTGCTGGCAAGATGCTAGTAACAGTTGCCAAGTCTGCTTATATCTCGCAACTTTGTGCTTCTTTTTTTGCGAAGTTGGGTTAAAAAAAATCGTGTGTCGCGGGATTGCGGTTTTTTGGGCTTATTTGAAGAAATATGGTTGCTTGTTAGGAAAAACTGGCAAGCAACTTCGTTTCTTTACATTTATGGCCGATGTTTTTTTCCAGTATATTGTCGACACTGTCTGCTTGCAGGTAAAAACCAATCAGTGCAATATTTAATGTGCTGTAGCGTTATTCGTCAACGCACATAGTGCCCCCTTCTCCCCCTTATTGGAGTAAAATCACGTTTAACATGCAAACATGTGACGGTGTAGATGTAAATAGACATACAGACATACATAGATGTACAGAGATGGAGGAAACATGGGAGAAGGTGAATGGTGTGCAGGGGAGTAAAGGGACCCAATTTAAATCGTAAAATATTTTTATAATGCATTAATCATTAGACGTAATACTAATTGTAGATACATACGGTTCGAGTTAATTTGATTATAAATAGCCTATGTGGCTATATTAAAGCTCCCACTCTTGGGAGTGCTCTCTTGTCTTGTTTTATTCTCCTTTTCCATCTCCATAGCTATCCTGCTCGCAGGTGATCGGAGGATAGTGTGTGGCCTCCCGCTTTGTATCAATTTGATGATTTTTGTAAAATAACTTCTGTTTTTGCTCTTGAAACTCCAAGGGGTTTCAGTTTACTATGTTGCAGCCTTGCAGGCTCATTTATTGATAATAATAAACAATTGATAATAAATGATATTGATGATAATATAGAGCTTGTTTTTGAAGCCGCGGTGGCTTATTTAGCTTGCGAGAGTTGGCAACACTGTTGTGGACGATTACTGAGGCACTACATTGCCCAAGTCTCCATGAAATTCTGGTCTTTCTTTAAAGTCGGAGATGTTCCACCCGTTTTATTGTCCCGTCAGGCAAACATCTCAAGTTTGATCTCTTAGAAAAGTCCCGAGCATTAAGAGTCTGGGATGAATGACATGCCTAAGCTTAATATCTAGGTTTAGGGGCTTGTTCATATAATTACACAAAGAGGTTTGCTTCAATTCCAATGTTTCCACCTATGTATTATAAGTCAAATAGTTCATGACTTTGCAGTTCTTGCCATTCCATCATCTGCATCACTTTAACCGATTATTTTCAGGGCCTTTATTATTAATGATCCATCTATACGCTCAACACGTTTAAGTTGTCTGTTTAGTGTTGTCAATCAGTTCAGACTGATAAAGAAACAGTGAAATCTCACAGTCATATGGTTAGCAGGAGCTACATTAGCACACAAGCCAGCACCGCCTACTGATTTGAGCGTTTTTCCAAGGAACTAAATGACTTCATGATTCAATAAATGCGATCTGGCGTGAATGACAGCTGGGGGTCAGTAACTCGTGTGGAGTGTGCGGGTGTTGATCCGGGAAGATAAAGTTAGATCTGTTCCTGTAGGTTAAAGGTCATGATTGAAGGGTTAAAGCTCCCCACACACACACACACACAGAGGGATCTTCACTGCAGCAGCGCTTCACACACGGATAACAGGACACATCTAGTATCTTCTCATTTTTGATCTCAAATGATAAATTAATACGTCTATATGATAGTCTTTGTGTGATCGGATCTGTTGTGTTTACCAGCGCACTGATAACAGATTAGCTGTTAGCGTTAGCCTGCTGATTAACTTCAAGTCTGCATCCGACTCGTTATGATGTCCATTAGCTGCTTTGTTATATGTATATTTATTGTTCTTAAATAACCAAAAAAGCTCTTACGGTTAGTTTAATCGCAGGCGTTTTGCCGGTAATGAGCGATATGTTCTGTTATGCTAGCGGCTTCTACGCTAACGCGTGTTAGCAGGCCGGCTATCAACAGTGCTAATATTCTCCTGAATTATTAATCCTAACCAATTACTGCAAACACAGCGGGCGTTAACAATATAGAAAGGGTTATTCTTACCCCGAACGCGTGAGAAATTATCCAACTACTGTGGTGTTTTGATAAATTCTCGTAAACTGACGGCTCACTGCAGCTACAGGAGGTCAGAGTTCGCGACCCGCTCAAAGCAGACCTGCACATCTGCGCATGCGCAAATGCAGTCGTGAGACAGCATTGGTTTTAGTGAAGGTTGAGCGGTGGTGCACTGCATTTACGACGTTAGCCAGCATGATTAACTAGAGATCCTCACATTTTATAGTGCTTCTGGAAACCAAAATGATACACATTTGGCAACAGCTGTCCCAGTTTAACCGATTGTTACATGTGCAGTAGGCTACCAACGTATCTGGTAATGGATAATGCAGTTTGCTACTTTCTAGTTATTGGTACCAGCCAAGAACCCAGTTTAATGCTTTAAGAGCTAAGCGTCAAATATTAAGCATGCACCAGAAATATTCATACCAAGTCAAGTCCAATGCCATATATTCTAATTCTCACTATATATGAATATATGGCATTGGAATCCAATTAACTGCATAGAATCAATAGGAATGTGAATTGCGTAATGTATATATTACGTATATAAATATATATACTCCGCAAACCCTTATGAAAATGGTAACCACAAATTAACCATGGATTTGCTACACTAACCATAGTTTAACCATGGTATTGCCAGTAAAACTGGTTATACAAATGATAATAAATATGCCAAAAAACAGTTACTACACTTTTACTGTGAAAAAACCATGGATCATTTTTTGTAAGGGAACATACCCCAAGTCGTTATGAAACCAAGTTTAACCAGACCTACCGACATGTTTTCTTATTACATTACATTATTTATTAAAAATTATTTGCACTTTACATTTATGTTGGGGCATAGCCTACTCCCTTGAAATCCTCAAGATATTAACACATTACTTCAGGATGACAACCCTTCCTTTGGGAACTAGTGCCAATCTGACCAGAAGCATCAGGAATAGCAATTATATATTTCTTAAAAGTGGATCACACGAACGAGAAACAAAAAAAAAACATAACAGTGGCGTATCTAATTTTTCCCAAAATGCAAAAACAATCTTACAAAATGTAAACAAACATTCAACACACAAATGTGATCAATATCGAACATATTGCCGCAAGACAAAGAAAATCCATTCCTTGGACTTGTTACACTTCAAACAGTGAAAGATCAGTGGCTTTCTGTGGCTGGAGCTGACGAAGGACCTTAGTGAAAACTGTAGAGAATATAATCAGGTCATACCCATTGTCAAAGTGTTAAGAGAGGTGGTCCTGAACAAGGTGCATTAGAGTATTTAATGTGTGTTACAGCTTTCCCTGATACGAGCACTAGTTTTTCTCTCTGTATTCACAGCCGGTGTGCTATAATGTCTAATATAGTAAGTTAAAACAGTGCTGAGTTAGCCAGCCTGGCACTGTGTCTTTACTACACATAATTCATTGAGGCCATTAAACATCCTGAACTATTTTAAATACACCTGCATTATATTACCATTTACAAAATATGTACACTTCCAGTTCTGTCCAGTATAAGGTTTAAACAGTCAGTCAAAACACCTACTTTGTACAAAAGTTTTTTTTTTTTAAATGTTTAAGATTATTAAAACATTTTTGTAACAGTAACAGGCTGAAAACCAAATAAAAAGGGCATTTTTCTTCAGGGGATACAAGCAGAATAAATATGTATAAATTGTTCATAAAACCATTCTTCCACAAAATATAATGCATGAATTGTTCATAAAAAGAACATGCCTACATGAACGGTTTCATGTAATGCATTAATCTTTAAAAAAAACATTACGGAAATGCTCACATTTCATGCATGAACCGTTTGTAAAATTTAACATAAAAATGCATGATTTGTTTTAAAATACATTTAGGTAACTGGTGGTCAGTCTTGCTCAATAAAAAGTATGCATTTTGTTACATTCAATATGTGAATCATTTGTAAAATAGTTTTTACGTAAATCATTGCAGGTAACGCATGAACGGTTTGTAAATCCATGGGTTTGGGTAAACTGGTGCAATCACTGTAAAATTTTCGTATTAAAAAAAGGTAATCATTTTTACAGTAATTTTTACAATCATTTGTAAAATAGTTTTTACGTAAATCATTGCAGGTAATGCATGAACTGTTTGTAAAACCATGGGTTTGGGTAAACTTGCAATCACTGTATAAAATTTTCGTTAAAAAAAAAAGTATTTTTACTATCATTTGTAAAATCGTTTTTACGTAAATCATTGCAGGTAACGCATGAACTGTTCGTAAATCCATGGGTTTGGGTAAACTGTTGCAATCACTGTATAAAATTTTCGTCAAAAAAAAAGAAGGTAATCATTTTTACAATCATTTGTAAAATCGTTTTTACGTAAATTATTGCAGGTAATGCATGAACTGTTCGTAAAACCATGAGTTTGGGTAAACTGTTGCAATCACTAAAATTTTCGTAAAAAAAAAAAACAGTAACAGGCTGAAAACCAAATAAAAAGGGCATTTTTCTTCAGGGGATACAAGCAGAATAAATATGTATAAATTGTTCATAAAACCATTCTTCCACAAAATATAATGCATGAATTGTTCATAAAAAGAACATGCCTACATGAACGGTTTCATGTAATGCATTAATCTTTAAAAAAAACATTACGGAAATGCTCACATTTCATGCATGAACCGTTTGTAAAATTTAACATAAAAATGCATGATTTGTTTTAAAATACATTTAGGTAACTGGTGGTCAGTCTTGCTCGATAAAAAGTATGCATTTTGTTACATTCAATATGTGAATCATTTGTAAAATAGTTTTTACGTAAATCATTGCAGGTAACGCATGAACGGTTTGTAAATCCATGGGTTTGGGTAAACTGGTGCAATCACTGTAAAATTTTCGTATTAAAAAAATGTAATCATTTTTACAGTAATTTTTACAATCATTTGTAAAATAGTTTTTACGTAAATCATTGCAGGTAATGCATGAACTGTTTGTAAAACCATGGGTTTGGGTAAACTTGCAATCACTGTATAAAATTTTCGTTAAAAAAAAAGTATTTTTACTATCATTTGTAAAATCGTTTTTACGTAAATCATTGCAGGTAACGCATGAACTGTTCGTAAATCCATGGGTTTGGGTAAACTGTTGCAATCACTGTATAAAATTTTCGTTAAAAAAAAAAGAAAGTAATCATTTTTACTATCATTTGTAAAATCGTTTTTAAGTAAATTATTGCATGAACTGTTCGTAAAACCATGAGTTTGGGTAAACTGTTGCAATCACTAAAATTTTCGTAAAAAAAAAAAAGTAATAATTTTTACAATCATTTGTAAAATCGTTTTTACGTAAATTATTGCAGGTAATGCATGAACTTTTCGTAAAACCATGGGTTTGGGTAAACTTTTGCAATCACTAAAATTTTCGTAAAAAAAAAAAGTAATAATTTTTACAATCATTTGTAAAATCGTTTTTTATCGCAATGTTTACGATGTTGGTTTCTTGTATGGTAGATAGTTTTGCTGCTAACCATGAGAGGATTCTAGTTTTGTGGACATCGATTAGGATCCTTTTAGTTTTACTATAAAGTGTGACTTTATATGTTCAAATTGGATGCTGAAATCTTGATTATTTGTGTATGATTTTTGGCTGTTTAACGTAACTCTTATAGTAACCAGCTATCTTTACTAACAAGTTGCAATGTAGCATGACAAAGAGCTACAATGTTGATTTTTGTCACATTGTAAAACAGTTTAAGTAATTATTGTGAAATCATTGTTACTTAAAATTTGAGTGTAAAAATTCATACATTTTTGGTATAAAACAGTGTAGTGTTGAGACATTTTGATTCATTTGAGTAAATTGAAACTGATTTCATAAATGAAGTGGTTAAAAAAACATTCATAGAGAATGAACAAAAGTCAGTGTGGAATTTTACATCTTTTTTTATAGTGATATACTGAAAATTGGCAAGATTTAACTGAATTATGTTTGCAGCTTGAAGTATATTTAAATAAATATACATTCATATTTCTTGTCCCAAACAGATACTGCTTTCATTGTAAAAAATTATATATATTCTGTTGGCGCCGATAGCCTTGTAGGCAGCGTGCCGACATACAGTGCCGTTGCGTGTAGTGTGTAGTTATTGTGTAGTGTACAGCTTGTATAACAGTGTAAATTTGCTGTACCCTTTTAGACATTAATGTCTAAACCGCTGGCCACAAAAGTGAGTACACCCCTAAGTGAAAATGTCCAAATTGGGCCCAAAGTGTCAATATTTTGTGTGGCCACCATTATTTCAGTGTGAGTAAAATGTTTTCAAAAATGTGAGGGGTGTACTCACTTCTGTGAAATACTGTATATCTGTTTTAATAGTAGCTAGTAGCAAATCGGTAGAAAATGTTTCAATAGTTGGCTACTTTTGGCGCTTTTCCACTGCATGAAACGGCTCACTTTTGGGGGGTTTTCCACTGTGTACAGCACCTGGTACTTTTTTTAGTACCACTTCGGCTGAGGTTCCAAGTGAGCCGTACTGTTACCAAAATGTGACGTGTAAATCCTGCTGATCACTGATTGGCCGGAGAAAATCATCACTACCTGCGTCATTGAACTTGCGACACGAGACACAACAGATCCGCTAGATTTAAATCAGCACAGCCAGCGAAGGATCGAACGCAACTTTTTTTTTTTTGAATGAACAACCGTTTTGAACGAGTGCACCTTTTTTTTTTTACAACCAAAAAATGGCTGTTTCGTGGTCTGTTGAGGAAGTACAGACGTTCCTCTTGTTGATAGCCGAGAAGTGGATCCAGCGAGATCTTGATGGGGCGACGCGGAATGAAAAAGTTTTCAGGAGGTCACTCTGCTCTTGGCCACCCATTATGTGTTTAATCTCACCCACTCTAAAGCGGTACTAAACTGCAGTGGAAACACGAGCCGAGTCGTACCACTCAGTGGAAAATCACTTTTTGTCAACACCGGCTGTTGCGATTTGGGCGTCCCGAGTTTGAGTCCTAGCTCGCAGACATTTCCCGATCCCCCTAATTTTTGTTAGTAGTGTACCTTGGCCAACAATAGTAATACTGCCAAAAAGTATATCTTTTTAGGTAGCTTCAATGCAATTAGCTGTTTTTTTAAAAATAGTTCGTATTGTAGTGTAGTTGCTTAGATAATCATCAGTCAAGCTTCTATTGATAAATTATGAGTAGCTTCCAGAACACTAAAAGTTATTACAAGTAATTAAGTAAAGGTCGCATACTTCACTAGCGGCGTAAGTGTAGAGGACTTTGTTCTTAATGACGAACCACAGCCTCTTCCATGGTTTCTTGTGGCCTTTGGATCTTTGCAGATATCCACTCATGGAGGAATTCTCAGTGTTGGCAGACACCTGTGAGCGAGATGTCGTTTTAATAGTAACAAAGTAATATGACGTCAGCGTTGTGGTAGAAACAGAAACCTTCATTACAGTGACATTAGATAACGCAAATGCTGCAAGCCGTTGCATTATGGGTAATGTACAACTTCAAGCCACCTCTTTGAGGGCAGAAGGAATCTTCTTCTGTTTTCTAGAAAAAGCAAATGTTGAACTCCGCCCACTTGGGGAAACGGTCACATTGGATTGGTCACCTATGAGATCAAAGCAAAAAAACATATTGGAAAAAAAAGATGTAGTGTTTGCCTGTGCAACCACACTGCTAGTGCATTCGAATTTAACATTTCTAAGATTTCGTCTTATATTTTTACTATTGATAACTTTTCATTTTAGTTAACAATACAACACTGTTGCTATGTGGTTGCTCAGGTTGTCAAGTATGAATAAATACCATTATAAACAAGCATGTCCAATAAAAAAAAAAACTACTAGTGAAGAAGTGGGAGTAAGAGAATATGAAAGAAGAGTAGAAAAAGTGGGTTTCTCAGCAGAAATCTCATACCCTTGTGCTGTAGTTTGATATAGCAGTGGTCACACACTCGTGCCAGCTGATTCTTTAGGTATTCCAGGTAGTATTTATTGGACGAACATGCCTGACACACCACCTGTTGTCACATCAAATGCAAATCAAGCCTATTTGTTCATTCAAAAAAAAAGAAAAAGAAACAAAGCCTAGAACTTTTTTCTAACCTTCCCGCAGGCACGGCAGTGGTGGCGTCTCCAGGTGAGCGTGAACTCACACGTGCAGATCATACACATGGTCGTTCTCAAATCTGGAATCCAGATAGGAGCTTTAGAGCCCAGCGGTAGACCATCATCAGAGATTCCCTCCAACTACACAGGGGGAAAAAAAAATAATGATAGAGTGCATCTTTATGAGCTCCTTCAAAAAGTGTCTGAAATATTGTCCTGCAATTATCTGTTGCTTTTTTATTTGGAAGCTCTATCATTTGTTGTAGTATGAATTAGGGCTGGGTTTTGACACAAATTTCACGATTCGATTCGATTATCATTCACAAGCTTGCGATTCGATTCGATTACCAATGCGATTCAATTCAATTCAATATCGATATATATCAGGTACAGTACATGCCAAATTTTCTCAAGGAAAAAAAATCTCTCAACTAATGCTGTAAAATATACATGAGAGTCAGTTGGTACTACATTACTATAATATAAAGTTACAATTACAAAATATTTCTACTTCAATTTTTTTTTATATAAACAATGGTGGCTGTCATAAAATCCTGATGGATTTATTAAAACATAAATTAAACATTGAAGAACAGTAACATTTATAATGAATATGTTATATGGTGCATATATTTAGCAAAATGCCCCTCTCTACAGTTTATTTATCTATCTGACTAATTAGTTTATGGTCACCGAATATGTTTTCCGAGTTAAATGTGACGTTATATTAATGTCTTTGCGCAGCTGAAACACTGATTGAGCGATTACATGAGACAGGACAGAAGTTGTACTCTTTCTTTTAACTTACCTTCGGATGTTTAGTCATGTTTATTTTGTGCTGAAACTGGTATTAATGTGGAGGAGATGATCAGTTCACGTGTGCCTCGATCTATCTGACTAATGAGTTTATGGTCACCGAATATGTTTTCCGAGTTAAATGTGACGTTATATTAACGTCTTTGCGCAGCTGAAACACTGATTGAGCGATTACATGAGACAGGACAGAAGTTGTACTCTTTCTTTTAACTTACCTTCGGATGTTTAGTCATGTTTATTTTGTGCTGAAACTGGTATTAATGTGGAGGAGATGATCAGTTCACGTGTGCCTCGTGCTGCCGCGTCTGAACTGAGGCGCTACAGCGATCTGTCACTCCACATTAAACAGCGCCAAAACGGCATTTGTTTAAATACTGCAATACAATGGACAGAATTTGAAATCTGAGACTTTGTTTTATATTAAAAGTACCAAAGCACAATGCTTATTGCGATTTATTGGATGGGACGTTCCGTTGAAGGCAATGTTCCATCCATTAACTGAAAACAGGCTAGACCAGGGGTGCCCAAACTCGGTCCTGGAGGGCCGATGTCCTGCAGAGTTTAGATCCAACCCCAATTAGGCACACCTGAACCAGATAATCATGCTCTTACTAGGCATACTATAAACTTCCCATCAGGTGTGTTGAGGCAAGTTGGAGCTAAACTCTGCAGGACACCGGCCCTCCAGGACCGAGTTTGGACACCCCTGGGCTAGACTGGTCGATATCGTTCCGTAAAAATGAGAATCGATTAATATCGAGATATCGATATTTTTTACCCAGCCCTAGTATGAATGCCAAACAACATCTGAACTTTTTCCAGAGATTTTTCGCAAATTTGAAAGATAATTTTTCAGGAATTGATCTTCATTACTTTCATGACAACATGTTAATCAACATGACCTTCTTGTTGATTGATTGCATAATATTTTTCATAAAATGACAAAAAACTTTGGCATCAGCCTTGCTTGGCATAGTTCTAGTCTTTTGTTTGTGAATATTTCATACTTTTATATTTTCAATGGCAAGGTCAGTGTTTTAACAGTTTGAATTAACAATTCAATCAGCTATGGGAAATTATATATATATATATATATATATATATATATACAGTGGGTACAGAAAGAATTCAGACCCCCTTAAATTTTTCACTCTTTGTGATATTGCAGCCATTTGCTAAAATCATTTCAGTTATTTTTTTTCCTCATTAATGTACACACAGCACCCCATATTGACAGAAAAACACAGAATTGTTGACATTTTTGCAGATTTATTAAAAAAGAAAAACTGAAATATCACATGGTCCTAAGTATTCAGACCCTTTGCTGTGACACTCATATATTTAACTCAGGGGCTGTCCATTTCTTCTGATCAGCCTTGAGATGTGAATACTTTCCGTACCCACTGTATATAATTCCAATGCCATATATTCATAATTCTAATTCTCACTATATATATATATATATATATTCTGAGAATTAGAATTATGAATATATGGCATTGGACTTGACTTGGTATGAATATTTCTGGTGCATGCTTAATATTTTACGCTTGGCTCTTAAAGCATTAAACTGGCTATCATACATCAGTATTACAGCAAAAAATATGTTTTTGTGTTTTTTTCATGTATTCCAGTACAATTATCTAAACATTCTTAAATCAAAATACATTTATTTGAGATGCAAAATGAAAAATTTATATATTTTTTTAAATTAGGTTAAGGAATTGGTAATTTATTAGAATTTACATTTGAAATTGCATTAGGTTGAATTCATGCTTAAAACAAGAACCAATATCTCCCAATATGGAAGATATCAAAGGGAAACCCGTTTTAGTTTTCTTACCCCATTGGCTGATAATGTGTCCTAAGCTAGACTTAATAAACAAGACTTTGTGTTTTATGTCATTTTGCATCTCAAGGAAACGTATGTTTAAAGAATGTTTAAATATTTATGCAGGAAAACAAGACAAAAATTACTTTAGCAGTGTATACGCATGTCAGTGAAGACCCTATACATTTGATGAAAACACAGAAAGATACACCTAAAAAAATCAATCACGCTTAAATGCACCCACCTCTAGGCTTCGACTGGAAAAGAAAGAAATCTTCTTTCTGGTATAGTCATCTATTGCTTTAGCGATGGCTTCCAGCCATTCGTCTCTTTCGGTGGCTGAACTGCAAACATCATTTACAGTCTGTGATTTCAATTTAATTAAACATAAGTACCAAATATTGTTTTGGCACAAGTGATCAAAGGATCATTATCGTGTATATAATTATTCTTTCCACTGCTGATATTTCTTTCATGTAGAACCCACACATAAATCATTACGCACGTGTGTGTGTGTGTATTTCTTACTTGGCAGACAGTATGAAGGAGCGTTCCACACTCTCAATGTTTAACTCATTCTGATAGGCCTCCTGACTTGGTTTGCTCACCTATTGAAGACGTGGGAGACACACGTTACATCTCTTGTGAGTTTGTGTGTGTGTGTGTGTGTGTAAGGGAGTATTATGCTGGTGGATATCTGACCTTCATGCCAGCCAGAGAGAGCATGCTGTTGACTTTATACTGGCCAGACTGAACGGGTGTTGTGTACAGCAGTATATCATTAAACTGTTAAGAGAAAGACAATTTACTGGATGTCCAAAAAAAGTGTTACACCATTCAGTTTCCAATCATATGCAGCAATTTCCCGTTTTGTAAATGACCACATTAATGCACATAGTAATATTTGTTTGTGGTCACAGTTCTGTGCCTCTTTTTAGTTTTACTGCCTCAAATATGATTCAGTCAGTTGGAAATATCAATTTTCTAGGTTATTATCATTGACTAAAATTAAAATATTAAAAACATTTGTGTTAACTGAAAAAAAGCAGAAAAATCTAAATATTACGATGCAAAATTGTTATGTCACGTACACAGTTATATAGACAGCATAAAACAATGTAGTGAAATGTAAATCAGGTCCACTCCATAGACTGCAATTATTTAAAGGGGTCATATGATGCTTTTTTAAAGATCATTATTTTGTGTATTTGGTGTAACAGAATATGTTGACATGCTTTTATGTTCAAAAAACACATTATTTTTCAAATACTGTACATTATTGTAGGTCCTCTATGCCCCGGTGTAGTGAAATGTAAATCAGGTCCACTCCATAGACTGTGCAATTATTTAAAGGGGTCATATGATGCTTTTTTAAAGATCATTATTTTGTGTATTTGGTATAAAAATAAATAAACAGAGATAATAAGATAGGAACAAAGATGAAAAGCATCTAAATGAATGATGAAAATTAGAAATGTTGCTTTGGCAACTTACTCAAATAAGTAAGTTGTTGCACTAACTTGAAATAAATAAAAACTAAATTGAAATAAAAATACATGAAACCTAAATAAAATTAAAATTAAAGTATTAATAAAAATGACAAAAACACAAAGAGAAAATATAAAATAAAAGCAAAAAAACAAACAAACACTATAACAGTATAAATGATACTAAAATAACACTGTCAATTTTATAATAAACATTTGCTCATCATTTAAAATCTCAAAATATTTGACCACAGTTTCTTACCAGGAAGAACATTCTGGGCTGCATAACTTTCCTGGAGAGTTTCATCAGAGTGCCCTCCTTTAAGAAAACCTGTGTATGCAACAAGAGCATGTTAGATTAGCAACGCAGAGGCCTCAGGCACTGCTCAGACACGATAAATCAGTGGTAATTAAGTTTCTTACCCTGCCAGGCTGGACGATTTCATAGTGACCGTTCAGACTGTATTGAACCTGCATCAGCTTCTGAAAGTTATCCTAGAAAAAATGAGATGCGTGTTATAAGTCAAAGTCATTCATATTTATGAGGTCTTAAAGGGTTATTCACCCAAAAATGAAAATTCTGTCATTAATTACTCACCCTCATGTCGTTTCAACCCCGTAAGACCTTCGTTCATCTTCGGAACACAATTTAAGATATTTTTGATGGAATCTGAGAGCTGTCTGACCCTGCATAGACAGCAACACAACTGAAATGTTTCCAAGTCCAGAGACGTAGCAAGGAGATCTGTAAAATAATCCATGTGACATCAGTGGTTCATCCGCAATTATACGAAGCTACAAGAATACTTTTTGTGCGCAAAAGAAAATAAAGACTTTATTCAACAATTCGTCTCCTCCGCATCACCCTGGTGCCATTTTTATTTGAGAATATCCGCTGAACGTAAACAACATATTCTGTTCTGTGTCAGCTGCGTCACGTCGGATCGGTTTCCTACGTTGTTGTGATTTGATCTGAACGGAAACAGCGTATCGTGTGACGCAGCTGACACAGAACTGCATACGCTGTTTACATCCAGCTGATAAGTTGTTAAGTCCAGTTGAATAAAGTTGTTATTTTTCGTAGCTTCGTATATTTGCGGATGAACCACTGATGTCACATGGATTATTTTACAGATCTCCTTGCTACGTTTCTGGACTTGGGAACATTTCAGTTGTGTTGCTGTCTATGCAGGGTCAGAAAGCTCTCAGATTCCATCAAAAATATCTTAATTAGTGTTCCGAAGATGAACGAAGGTCTTACGGGTTTGAAACGACATGAGGGTGAGTAATTAATGACAGAGTTTTCATTTTTGGGTGAACTAACCCTTTAATGGTGGTTTGGTTGTGTTTGCTGTGTTACCCCTTGCTTCATGATGTCGTTCGCGTGGTTCGCCACTTCTTTCACCACGCTGAGAGCAGCTGGGTAAACCAAACAATCAGAAGTTCAATAAACATTTGAACTTTTTTTTTTCGTACAAAAAAAATAATAAAGTCAAAAGCTTCAGATTTCTTAATGACAGATCAATTATTGTAAATTTGATTTTTTATAAAATATTACAAATGATGGTGAAATGGAAGTAGTGTCCAATCTTTTTTTCCTTATTGTGACAGACGTCTGAGTGAAACCGATGAATGCCAATGTCAATAAGATCAATAACATGCATTTAGAAAATAGAAAGGGTGAATAAAAAAAAACCCCAGACAGACAGACATTTTGAAAGCATCTATGAAAATTAGGAATGCCTGACCAGCATTTATGATTTTGATGAATGAGGATAAAAATATGAGGCTGGTCTAAGACAATGGCCCTAGCTGTAATTGCTGGTTAATGGGAATTTTACCAGGTCATTTCATTTTATTTATTTACTGGGGCTTGGTCATTTACTAAAAGTGGCACCTTAGCTGCATAATACGAGTCCCTGCTCTAGTGTGTATCATTTCTAGGGAAATGGTGTGCTCTTACTTTGTGTGTCTTTATAGTCAGATGAATCCTCAGGAAGGTTTTTCAAATAATCTGAAAGAGACATGAAAATTCATTGGAAGACTCAGAATTGGTTACAGAGATTGGTTGTATTCATTAAAGTACTTTAAGTTTAATCATAAGTTTGTCCAATGCAAGAAAACTTTTGAAAATTAAATTCACTTTAATTTGACCAAACGGTCCCTCCTCTAGCCAAAACTCAAAAAGTCCACTAGCTAAAACAAATGATGTATCTGCTGTGTTTGGCTTCCTGTGATGGGCCTGATATGCTCTTGTTCTAATGTTGATTGCAGTGTGTACTCATCTGATGGTGTGTACCTGTGAGCAGGAGCTGGTACTGAGGTATCCGCTGCACCGGTTTCAGCAGGTAATGCTTCAAAGCAAGACTAGCACAGCGAGGACTCATCTAAGAATAAAAAAAGTGAAATCTTACATGTGAAGCATTACCAAATGGAAAAAAATAGCAAAAAACACTGGTCTGGTTTCCATTACAGATTTGCGCAAAACCTTATTTTATAAATGTCGATAAAATAAACTATTGCGAAATGACGGCGTTTCCATCAACCAATGTTATGAGACTAGAACATAATTTTTTTCCTCTCTTGAGTCATGATGGTAGGACTACGTAAAATCGCAGCCACCGCACTAGCCATTATTTTTCATCGAAGGATAGTGTAGTGTATCTTTGGCGAAGCAGCATTGAAAGTTCTGAACTCATGTGTTCAGCGTTCTGAAGCATACCGCAGCGGCTGGTGAAAACACAAGCAGTGACTGGAGTGGCTGCGTCGGAGTGTGCAGTGTAAATAAGGGTTTATTAAAGCATTAATGGCAAGGAGAGCCCCTTATACTTGAGAGCGGCCACGTATGAGGTGTTTTTTGGAGGTTATAGTACATTAAAAATGATCATGTGACTTTCACATACACTATTTACCTGCAAATGCAAAAAAATATATAACATTTCATTGCAGTTTTGTGAAACGGTTTACTTTTTCAAATTGCCTGATTCCAAATCACTTTATATGATAGGCTTTTATTCACTTAAAAACATTGATCAATGCATACATCCACTCATCAAATATGGTAAATGGAAGCTCAACCGTACTTGCTTGATGCAGGAGAACAGATCTCATTGGTTTCCTGCTGAACCTCAAACATACTTGTGTGACACACGAGAATGAACCTCATTGGTTCTCGGTGAAGCTAAAACATTCACATTTAGTCATTTAGCAGATGCTTTTATCCAAAGCGAC